ACACGAAGCTGCTCAGGTCGAGACCAGTTTCATTTACGATAGGAGTACAAATATTATGGTTTAATCAAGGCCATGGTGAAGAATGTCGTAATAATCTAAGAGTAATATAAATATGTTATTTTAAAACATTTCTTGTTTCAATATGATATAGTCTGACGCGAATGAAATAGTATACACGTATTACATATTAAAAGAATGAAGTTTTGACATAAATGTATCACGCATATCAATGTATGGCATAAATATGTGTGACATAATAACGTGTGGCATAATAGTTAATATTTCATTCAACTGTTATTTAGTTTAACTGAGGTAAATAAAAGGTTAATAATTAAAAAAATTTTTTTTAAATATATTAACATCTATAATATAATTTACTCACATGTTTTTGGAACTCCATACATTTTGCAATCAGTGGCATATATTGTACGGTGAGAGTTATTTAAAAGAAATTGATTTGTGCGCATGTGTATAAATATATATACTTCTAATATATATTAATACTCTCTCTTTCTCTCTCTCTCTTAATAAACTTTTTATTATAAGAGAGAGAGAGAGAGAGAGAGAGAGAGAGAGAGAGAGAGAGAGAGAGAAGAGCTATTTTATTATAACATTTATTTTATTTTTTAAATATATTCCTTAAACAAAAAAGCTAAGACTAAAACTTTAGAAATATGAGATTTGTTTTTTGTTACTGCACAATTAACTACACTAGCACTATTTTTTCATTTATTTCGCTAAATATCAAATATGCACTTACATATATCACTTTAAGTTTCAAAAGTGTATACTGGTTCAACCATAAAAAAACCTATAAATATGAACTGGAATGTAAACAGTAGTATTATCATAATAAGCAGCTCAATATTCCTACTTTTTCTTTTGTAGGAATCATCTGTACAAAAAATATCTACACATATATATATATATATATATATAAACAAGTAAATGAATGTAACACTTTTTAAAATCCTTTCACTTCGATATATAAAACGTTTTTTTATTCATTTATATCCATACTTTATGCTGTCGCAAGATGCGAATATACGCGTGATAGTTTTTTTTTTTAGAGAATTCCCCGTATAAATACAAAATTATTGTTACAATAGCTATTTAACACAATAATGCAATACTATATATAAAGATTATTACATCAATACTTATGATTGTCTTACAGATAGGTGTGTGGATTTATGTTGCACTTCGATTTTATACTTAAAACCATACTGTAAAAAAAATATGAATAAAACAGATCCAGGAAACTATAAATATATTATTAATAACTTACTATTATTTAAGCTACGCAGTTTGCAAAAAAAAATTAAAATGAGATAAATTATAATAAAATATTTTACAAATGTCATAATTTACAAAAATATAAAAATGCGTGTCAAATATCTGTAAATGTACAATTGACAAAAACTTTAAAATTTTACGAAATTGCATTTAAATCAATAATTCATAAGATTTTACAATACTTTTTAAATGTCATTACTATGTAAATTATATTATCTTGTTTCCTTCGTCTCATTGTCTTATTTTGCTAAATAACTTCTCGCAGAAAGTTGAAACTTATAAAGGTTTGGTTTCATCGTCTTGTAAACCTTGACCATTTTATAAATTTCCATGCATTAATTATTTATAAAATGCTAGAAATACAACGAATTATGCCAGCCTTGCAATTTTGACATTTTGTGATGCACACAAAAAACGAATGAAAAATAGACTACATATAGATAAACGAAATTTTTTCAATCCACTACATTCTTTATTCGCACTCACGCGAAATTAAAATTGTGTTTTTTAACTATGACATATAGGAACCGGCGATACGGATTCCCGACTAGACAACGAACGGTGACTGTAATGCGAATGTCCATTTTTAGAATTTCATATATGGTACGTGATGCAATTTGAAATCATAATTAAATCGGAGTTTCAGATCTAATGCGCACTTTTTATAGGTTCAACGTACGTCATAGAATCTTCTTTTGCGTAACGCTATCACTACAAACTTGGAAACCCGATGTCGCTAGTATGGCTAAACGATAAATATTGTGAAAGGTATCTAGACGATGATAGCTCGCATGGATCAATAGATCGGTCTTCATACATTTTCTAATGCAAAATTCTAAAATAATACTATCGTTTTAGTAATATATCGTTTTAGAAGATCTATGCTTATTAATTCTTTTAGTAATCTTTATCTCATCGATTCTCTCTATTAATTTTTTTATATGTAACAGAATTTTTATCTCAAAAATGTACCTTTAAAAGTCGCTTAAGTTATATGTACAAGAAAAAATTATAATAATCACGTACGATTAAAGAAAAAATTTTGATGATCGATATATTTATAAATACTTTAGGAAAACTTTTTATAAATTTTTTAATAGACTAATTTTAATCTATCTGGATTAAATAGAATAAAGAGGAAGAGAAAGAGAGAGAGATAAAAAGTTGAAATAAATTTATAAGAATCTGTTATTTCTAATTTTAAAAAAACCTTAATATAGTCATTTATATATAATTATAATTTATATATAATATTTAAATGCACATAAGAGAAAACATTAATATAGAAAAGAAGTAACTCATTATTTGTAATAAATTAAAGTACCGAGTCGATGAGTTATAACTAATGAGTTACTTTTTTCAACAAATAATACGTAATAAAGACAAATTAATTTTTAAAAGTGACTTTCCTAATCTTAGCTTTTAGTTAATTATGATTACCATTATAAAGATTGTAACGTTATTACCAAATCGTTAATAAAATGTAACGATAAATGTAACGATTCCTATCCCTATGTAAAACCTATAAATTGTTATATATATATATATATATATAAAACAATTTATAGGTTAAAAATATATGCGTGTATTAAGATTCTATTGATTTTCTTTCTATTTTAATGTTTTCTATTTTTACGAGATTAAATGAATTATGAAAGAGAATGATCAAAATTGGCGCTTCTTGAATTTTATAGGTGGTAACAAATTTTATTATATATAATATTCTGCAGCTGTTGTAATTGGAATTTCTTGCATCTGTTTCTGCAAAAAAATTAATAATGCTAAATAATAGAAATTACAAATAATTGCCAGTTATTTTGTTTTATTTTTCTCGCTATAATTATTTTAATTATCTTCAAACAAAAATAAACGGTTCTTCGATTTTCTGTAATAGTATCGAATAATTTGACAAAAATTAGATCAAGAGAATATTTCATTAAATTAGAAGGTAAATTTTAGAGTGACTTCCAGTTTTCGCAAAGTTATAACTTCGTATTGCATTGCAAGCATTGTCAGGTCATTGACCTAAAGTAGGTGGCTTTCACATTCACCTAATATAATCTCGTGATCCGCCTCATCACTCTTATGCATCTTATTCAATAATATGTTTTATATATACTTAATCGGATAGCTCTTGGGCATGAGACTAGTCTGACATCTGTAAGTAGCGATTATAGTAAATATGATGTGCAGCATAATAAACTTTGTCAGTAAAATAATTTACGTACCCTTGTCTATCAAGTGTTTTATAGACTGTTTGTGCTAACAGCTTCTACAGTAATAGCTCTTAACGACAAAATTTAAAAGATAAATACAAAACTTTACAAAAGATATAATAATTAATAATTATATTAATAAAAGAAATTTTTCTTGATTTATTTCTCGAATTAATTACATGCAAATTTTATGTATATAAATACATATATATATTTATTTGTGTAGATATATATATAATTATCATATTATTGTCTGCTTAAAGAGTATATTTTTCCAATCATGTTTTATTTTTAATAAAGGAATAATTATATTAGATACAGATAAAAAAAGATCATAAAGGTTAAGGAGAAGAGAAAAATAATACAAATATAAACATGCGCAAAATCATTTTCTTCTATAATATTTATATATTCCTTATAAATGATAAACTATATTTCATAATTTATGTAATTATTTTTGCACACAGCTTCTGAATTTCATCTCTAATTGTAACTACAATTACAAATACAAATATTTTATATATAAATAAATGCTCTCTCCAAATTCTTCATTTTCTCTTTTATTATTTTAAATAATGTTTTTTTTAATGCATATACACATTTTGATATATTTGTATAAAAAATATCTTTTTTTAATAAAATACTAAAATGCGCGTTTTACTTTTTTCTGTTAAAAATCAAATAATATATAATATATATGTATATATAAAATTAAGTTAAGATTATTTTCTAGAAATTTAAAACGTTTAATATTATTATATTTCTTTAGCTCTTTTGTTATTTGCTTAAGATGTTAAGCAATTTCCTTAAACATTGTATTGAGTTTAATAAAATTCTTTACGCAAGTAAAGTTAGATAATTTTGTCTCTTTATTATTAAAATTGTATACTCCATTTCATCAAGCTATAATTACTTGCTGCGCTCTGGCAGGAATCTAATGCGCATCCAAAAATGGTAAAGGTGCGTGAACTCCTTATAAGAGCGAGAGAGTGAAAGAAAACCGACATCAGCTGGTTACTCTCTCGACAAGAGAGAGAACAGACTGTTACAAAACGTAACAGCTTTCAGCTAATAAACATCAAACCATTTTGGCACAAACATAAATATAACAATAGATTATATCAAAGCCAATGGTTTTTTACTTCTCCCGACTCTTACAAACATATAGTTACGCCAAATATAATGTACGATAAAGCCAATTACTTAAACTTGATACGAAAAATATTGTTTGATATAAAAAGTATACAAATATCCATGAAATCTTTTATTTTAATTTTGAAGTTTGATATAAGACTCTCGATGCATTGCCACAGTCCAATTTCCAACTTTATCGAAATAATGACTGGAAAATTGATGTGAAGAGAAGAAAAAGTTCAGAATGTGTCCCGATGCAGCTACAGTTAAATGTAGGTGGGGAGAAGAACAGAAAGAGAGAGATCGGCAGGTCGTTTTACAACAGTACAACTTTCAGCACGGAAGGAGCTCAGTAAGTTCGCGGGCACGGAGTACGCGCGATCCATTCTTCATAAGACAGAAAGAACATTGCACTAATCGCAGACGATCGAAGAATATAATATTGTGAAATATCGACAGGTATTTCTTATTTTGCACTTGTTAGAATACTTCAATATTATTCTGAAACTTTATTGTTAATTTTTAAACAGTTTTCTTTTGTTTATCCGAATAGAATTTCAATCAAAAAATGAAATGAACTCTTAAATCAATAATTTTAACATTTTTAATTATAAAACTGCATTTATTAGCATAGTTGATTAGTTAATATGTTATTAATTTAATTTTTATTATTGCACTACGATATAAACATCGAATATTTTGTTGTTTCTTTTAAACGATAGGTATTTCGCGCGTTAAATATTAGGACCTCTGCAGTTATAATTCTTTATAAATTTATATTACTAGATACTTCTGTGCTTTATGCGCGCTATCTTTTTACTTTTTATTATATTTGTGTTTAAATATAACAAACCCTGAATACTTATAGATATATACAATATTAATATTACACAGTCACTATTACATTATTAATTCCGTGATATACGCACAACTGTAAAAATGTGTGATAACATCAGTCACTTACGAAATAACCGCAACCAGAGTTGGCATTGTGACAATAATAAGCTTCGATATTTGCGAGTAATCGATTTTACATGTCTTCTTTTATATATAGGAATGGATCTTATACTTAAATGCTTTTTGCATTACATAGACCGTGTTCGGGTAATGCGCTATCAGCGCAATCAGCATTTTCTCCTTGTTTTACGCCTAAAGTCCATTCTACAATTATGTAAGTTGTAAGTGGTTGAATTGTAAGAATCAACCAATCACAATCGAATATAAGAGCAATACTCTAGTTGGTCAATTCTTACAACTTCTTACAACTACAACCATTTACAACTACGATTATGTAAATGGAGAATGGGCTTAATAAACAATATGATGGATTTAATAAATAAATAAAATGTTGCAATACATATAGTGCACTTTCCAAATGCTGTCAAAATATTTAAAATTATAAATAAAATTCTGTCTTAAATTCTAAAATATAAATTTGTAAATTATTCAAATAGTTAGATTTATATACCTTTTTCTTATTCCAATTTTTTATTCATATATAATTTCAATGTAATAATAGTACAATTATGATAACTAAGTACAGTAGAGAACTCTTCCGCATTATTATTAAATTATAAGGAACGTAAATATCAAGTTATAAAAGCAGAAGAACCGCCAAACGTTACATTTGTGAATAATAATTAATTATAGAGATGAAAAAGCATTTAATTTTCGAATACTTTTCAATTTAATTTATGTGTTGCATTATATATTATCATAATTTTCTAGACATTTATGTTAATTTGAATAAAAATAATCATCAAATAATTTACTTTCGTGATATTTTATTCTCTCTCTCTCTCTCTCTCTCTCTCTCTCTCTCTTCTCTCTCTCTCTCTCTCTCTCTCTCTCTCTCTCTCTCTCTCTCTTCTTTGCTTTTTCTTGTCCTTTTATATTCTTTTACACTTCAATTACTTTAATTTATCAATCTTGACGAAAATATATACATGTGATGGGTACTTTATACATGTACATATTATACAATGAGGGACTTTAATGTTGCTTTAACATTTAAGAACGTAATTTATTCAAAAATAAATCTTTATGTCATCTTAATTTATCTATGCGAGTTTCCGACAGATCAGCTGAGTAAATTATCATTATGCTAAAACTAATAAATTCTAATGCAGTACGTGATGCAATGATTAGCTGCAAGTTTACGTGAGTCTTGTAAATTACGCACATATGTTCCACAGAGGCGTGCACTTTCTTCGTTGGATAAAACGATGTACATACAGATAACTTGAAAAACTGCTTTACCGCATTTGTACGTATTATCGCATTACATAACAAAATGTATGATCAACGAGGTCTCTGATCTATAAATTAAATACAAACATAAAAACGAATAAATAATCAAAATATAGATATCTCAGATATATGACACTATGCTCGACTTACTTTACTTTCTCTTTAAAGAATTAAATATAATCATTTAATTTGTAATATTTTTGTATTACATCAAACAATGTTTCGTAATATCAGCTAGCGCGGCTGTAGTATTATTAATATTATTTCAGTGAAACTGAAATAATATAATAAGCTCTTTTTCTTTGTAAATATATAAAGAAGATAATATTGACATAGATAAAATACTGAAAAAATAAAAAAAATTACGCACGTAAAAATTTAAAAGAATTTATTACACGCAATCAGTTTAACAATTTTTCAATAAATAGATCATTAACTTTATGAAAATTAATTTTTTAATCAGTACGAATAATAAATTTTGTACAAAAAAATTTGTATAAATTTGTGCATTTTAGCAAGCTTACAGAATTTATAGTAATCGTAATCCATCTTTCTCTCTCTCTCTCTCTCTCTCTCTCTCTCTCTCTCTCTCTCTCTCTCTCTCTCTCTCTCTCACGATTTTTTTTCACCGAGTTATTCAACATTAAAGCAAAAGAGATCATTTTTACTTCAACGTTGAATAACTCGATGAAAAAAAATCGTACAAAGATCGGAAAAAAAAATAAATTAGAGGTAAAGGTTCAGTTTTTCAAAAGTAAACTGCATTTATGCACAATTTTTAATTCGCGCCGTGCCACCTCACAAATTTCGTATAAAATTTTGTTTGTGTAACTTCGTGAAATATCGACAAGACCGTTTTTTAAATAACTGTTCCGAAAAGTAGAGATTTCAAGCTTTAAAATGCTATATTAAATATCTCGGTGTGATGATTTTTTACGAAGTTATTTTATTTTGAAATTTGTCTATTTTTGCAGGGTGGAACAAGTGATGCTTTAATTTTGTTGAGTAGTGTATAAATCAAACATAGACTTATAAACTTTATTACTTTTATTGAATAACAATGTGTGAAAATTGTCTATATTGTTATATTTATTGTATTATATATTTTAAAAAGTAAACCTAATTTATGTAATAAGAATGCAAGTTGCAAAGTTCAAGGAATGACTATTAAGTTTTTTCTAAAATGTATTTTAAATTTAAGAATGAGAGAATTTTGAACACAACTAAATAAAAAAAGACCATATTTGATCAAAACGGATTTCTTGATGCCTAATAATATTTTATATAAATTTTACAATTCCTGTCTAATTCAAGCAAATTGCCCACCAAATATTTATCAATCTTGAAACGCAATTAAACAGTCCTAGGTTAGAATATACATATTACAAATTAAATTAATAAGTAATTTAATATACTGTTAATGAGCATTTTGAAAATACCATAGAGAATTTATTGCAAAAGATATTACTTTAGTCGAGGAAAACTTATATTAAATTACATAAATTAAATAAAATTAATTATTTGAATTCAATATTTCTCTTAATTTTGAATCAATTATCTTAATTACTTTGGATAAAAAACAAATTTATTATATATTTTATATGTATTATATGTATACTTTAATTATTGGCAGATCTGAGTGATGCATAGACTCAAAGGCTCTGTTACTCATTTGTAAGTTTTACGTACTCGATTAAAAATAATTTTTACTAAATAATTAAGAGAAGTATTTAATAAAAAATATAAATAAATTATATTATATAAATTATATAAAGACATTAAAATAAAGTATTAAAATAATATATTAGATTTATTATGTGATGCTAAAATCAGTTCGATATTTAAAGCGTTAGTAGATTCGAAACTAAATTCGTTTTATGTCACTGTAATTATAGACTTATATCACTCTTCATTATGAACACTTTGACTGTACTGAAAGATGTTACAATTCGTAAAAATGTATAATTATTTTATTTTATCGGCGCTCTGTTATTCAGGCCAATTTAGTTTGTATGACGAAAAATGAAAGTACAAGCGATAACGAGCACAAAAACGAAATGTGGACTTGATACCTTTATGTGATGATCTATATATTGGTCACAAATTGATCCATCATGATTTTACAATTTACGAATAAGCCAATTTAACAGGTGCCTGTGCTATAGTCAACAAATATTTTCTCCTTCTTATTAGCAATTTTGATATCAGACCAAATTCTGGCAGCTATAGTCAGCAAATATTTTCCCCTTCTTACTAACAACTTTGAAATCAGATCCGGCCAGAACAAAAGTAAACATCGCAGTCATCATTGTACGTTATTTCTCTTTACGAAATTTATTTTAAACTTTGTATTAAACAAGTCAATGGATATATGCCTACTTAAAATAAATCAGAAGAGGAATAAATTTGTTTCTGTGTCAAATAGAAAATATCTTTGTAAAAAATATCTTTTGAAGATATCTTGTATTTTATGAAAAAGATTAAATGCACATTTATATATTCATGTTTAGTGATGTACGTATTCAATTTAATATTGTATTAATGTTTAAAAAACTGATTTTAATTTATTTCTGGGCATAAATTTGTATAAATATATGTATAGTACATTATATAATTAATACATTGTGTAATGTATATACTGCAATGTATTAATTATACATTGTGTAATTATTAAATGACATAATTAATATAATCATAAAATTTGTTTGCTAAATTTATTTTGTATTACAAAATCTATTTATATTTTGATAAATATATTCGTTCTAAATACTTACGATGTTTTTAATTTCTTCAAAAAGATTTACTATCCTGAATATAATTTAATCTCTCTACTAAATTTAACAATCTTACATCTCAAATATTTTAATTTTCTCTTTAAATCCTTTTTTACGATTGTGAGTAAAAGTAGCCACAAAGTTGATTGCAAAGGCGTTTTATTTATCGTATGTCATACAAACATAAAAAAAATTTATGATATAAGAGTGGGTTATTGACTTTCAGTTTTATAGAAACATACGATGTAATGATATTAAAATCTTTTAACAGTTTCCTCAATTAAAAAACACACACAAACATACACACATTGAATAACTGCCACATAAACTTTTAAATTTACCTATTGATATGGAGAAATGCATCGCAGCTCGAAATCAGACCATGGAGTTGCAATTATTTGAATGCGATTAATCGGCCTTTCACCAATTTTCTCTTCTCTTTCCGTGATTCTTATTTGCTTGAAGATACAAAGTCAATGCAAACCTCTTACAGTAAAGTGATGTGGTAAAATAAGAAACCGCCAAGTTAATTTGCGAAATGTATCTACCATGTAGTAAACGAGAGAGAAAGAGAGAGAAAGAGAATGGGACATAATTATAGCAAATTGTGTGCTACAATGTAGAGTTTTGCTTAGTTATGAAACTCGCAATATAAGTGGTATAAGGATTACACTGTAAATTGAATTTTGCACAATTTACATGTTTTAATAATGACATACTTACTACTCTTTCTCTCTCTCTCTCTCTCTCTCTCTCTCTCTCTCTCTCTCTCTCTCCCCCTCTCTTTTCCCTTATTCCTCCATTTAGCTACTTGTCAATCTTGATCTCAATATGCTAAAATTTCCATATCGTTTCAGTTTACAGCCATGGAAGAAAGAATAACAAAATCCGAAGTTGCATCCTTTTATTCAGACAAGATCATTTTTATCACCGGCGCTTCCGGTTTCATGGGTAAAGTTCTCTTAGAGAAATTGCTGTATAGCTGCTCCGATCTGGACAAAATATACATTCTCATTAGAAGCAAGAAGGGCCGCAGTGTCGAAACTCGACTCGAAGAAATGTTCAAGTTACCTGTAAGGAATCATAAGATTTATGATATTCTCTTCTTTTATTACCCAAGCCCAAGATCGTAGTGACTAGCATTTTATTGGTCGAGTAATTGAATGCTGCGCATCTTTGAAATTGTTTCACTTTCTTTCACTATGATACAAGATAACGTTGAAGTATTCTGAATTCTTATGAATATCTCGAGAAACATCTCTTTAGACTTTTATTTAAATTTAAATTATTTAAAATAATTTTTGTTTTGTTATTGATCGTGTTACTTACTGCTAATTAATACTTACGCAAAAAAAGATTGAGAAGGTCGTGGTTTGAGAACTACGTGACAAAAATATGCGCATAATTTAATGAAGTCATATATATTATAATACTTGTTATTTCTCTTCCAATTTTATAGAATTTTTATTCCAAAGAAAATTGTGTGTGTTGTATCATTATGATTTAATTATACGCACATGATATAAAATAATTTAAACTTTGAACATATGACAAAAAGTAATTAAAAAATTTGGATAAGCGCGAGATTTTTTTTCTAAATTAGGATGTAGTTTAAAAATAAAATGACAGTGTAAATATGTGGCTGTATATACAAGCAAAACATTAATGATTATTAATAATGTATTATTAATGATTGATATTTTTATAGCTGTTTCAAAGAATGCAGAACGAAAAATCTCATCTTTTAAAGAAAGTGATACCGCTGAATGGCGATGTATGTCTGCCCAATTTAGGCCTTACCAATCGACACCGCGAGCTTCTAATAAATGAGGTACACATCGTATTCCATTTCGCTGCGACACTTCGATTGGAGGCGAAATTGAAGGATGCCATCGAGATGAACACGGTAAGATATTAACTGTCATGAAAGAATCTCAATCAATTTCTATAATTTTCGGAATTGCATTACTGTGTTTCATGTGTTATTGATTGTTCTTAATATCAAGTATGTTCTGCATGACTATCAATTATCTTGATAAACGAATTATAAAAACATTACACAGAAATATAGCATCATGAACTGATGACAATTTTGTAATACCTACCCAAATGCCACTTTAAAATTTTAAATTTAGCCATGTTAAGTCGATAATGCCTCATGTTGCAATATTTCTACATTGTTAGAAATAATTGTACATTTTTATAAGTACAATTACATACACGTATTTCTAAAACACAGTTAAAATATTTTTCTCAATTATTAAACAATTCTTCTCAAATTAAAAAATACATCGCTGAAATGATTTACCGTATCTCTATTGTTTTATCAAAATACTATGTTAAAATTAATTGAAAAAACAGTTATCAATAATTTAAAAAAGATCAAAATTTCTGTATGTTTTCATAAATATACATATACATACCTTAGGGAATGAAAAGTTACTTAAAAAAAAAAACAAGTTACAATTATATTACTTGTTACTGAGTAGAAAAAATAACTTGTTAGCGATTTTTGAAAGTAACTCGTTACAGTATCGTTATATGAAAATAACGATGCAATTTTTCGTTACTTTTCGGTATCTTCTCGGAGCACTGTATGATTACTATTAAATCTCATATTTATGTAATATTTTACGTAACGAAAAAAATTATGAGACAATATCGAACATTTAAATTCGGACAATATAACAATTAATATAATATATATCTCTAATAAATGTGACTGTAAAATTAATTAATATATTTTTTAAAGTTTATTCTGAGCGTAATACTTTATAATTAATATGATATTTAAATACATAAAGTTTTTATAATTTTTAAGACAGGTACAAAAAAATTACTGGACTTGGCAAAAGAAATGAAGCATCTAATATCCTTTGTGCATTTAAGCACGGCCTTCTGTCACGTCGACCAAGAGGAACTCGGTGAACGTTCTTATGATTCTCCCGATGATCCTGAGGATATCATGAGACTTGTTCAGTGGTTAGACAGCGAGGGTATCGATCTTCTTACGCCCAAGTAATTAAACTTATGACATATATTATTAATGATATTTTTATAGCATAAACACGATGTGTATCCAATCAATAGTTTACAATATAAAATGTTAATTACATTAACTATAGAATGTTGTTGAAAATAATTTAGTAATGTTATCGATATATATATATATATATATACACACATAAATTTTATGTATAAAGAAATGAGACATTCTTAATTAACAAAATGATTTGTGATTAAACCAGGCGAATGAGAGTGCAGCGTTGGTTGTAGTATGCAAGTAACAAATTGTTTGTTTTTTAATATGAATTCTTTTTCAATGGATTGATGATACTTTCCAAAGGTAAAATGTACGTTTCGACTTAATTCAAAGTCCTCTTCAGCATTAAATATGTCTTTACTATAAATAAGGAGGATCATCATTTCATTCGCCTGATTTAATGACCAATTTGTTTTAATCTGGAGAGTCTGTACCACCGTATTACTTTCATCTTTTGAACAATGATTTATAACAATTGCTTTTTATACATTTCACATTTTTAATGACAAATTAATTATAAATTAGACTACACACTCTCAAATTCAATCTTGAAAAGATATAAAGTATGCAATTCAATTATGTGATTATAGAAATTTTTATAAGGGAACAAGTAATAAATATTATATATAAATTATGAGAGTTTATTTTTGTAATCATGTAAATCATGTTTTATCAGTTAAAGTATGTTTAGTTTTCGAAAAATAGGAAATGTCTCGATTTTTAAAGAAGACCTATATCAGTATTAGCAACTTTTTTTTATTATGTTTAACTCTAAAATTATATTTTATATAATTACGAGATAAATATTTTGATATTATTAATACATTTACGTATATCTATTATATTTCTTTTGTGTCTTGATTAAAATTAAAATTAACTTATTTAAATTGTTTTATACAACAGATGTAAATATAAAATTACATATTTATAGATTAATTCATCCACATCCAAATACTTACACGTATTCGAAACGTTTGGCTGAAACGTTGGTGACCAATGAATATCCCAATTTACCTTGTTGTATCGCTAGACCATCAATTGGTAATTACGCTACGTAAAATCGCTAAGTCTATCTTTATAATTATTAAGGGTTATAAAAAAAAGTATCTCAACGATTGCAAATGAAGAAAAGTAAAAATTAATTTATTAATATCTCTACAGTAATACCAACTTATGTGGATCCGATGCCAGGATGGGTTGACAACCTAAATGGACCAACAGGATTGCTCATCGGTGCAGGCAAAGGTGTCATCAGATCAATGCATTGCAATGGCGATTATCATGCCGAAGTTGTACCGGTCGATCTTGCGATTAACGCTGTAATTACAATTGCACACAAAATTGGTACCGAGCAACAAAAGTAAATATCTTTATGCGCCTAATATTGCTTTCTTTCAATAATAAAACATGATTTAAATTAGAATGAATTTAGACACTATATTTGTAAAATCTATACTATTTATAATAATATATCTTTAATTTCTCTATCCCGTGGTATTTAATATAAAGAATTATTCTCTAAATTATTTAAATAGAGATTACAACAAAATACTTTAACTAAAAGAAATTTTTAACAAAAACTTTTCCTATTGAACTTATTTTATTGAAAATTGCAGACTTATTATAATTTATATATCGTATAACATCAAGTCGCGCAGTCCATCAATTTTTAAAGTTAAAATAGATAAAAAGTAAATTAAACTGAAATTAAAAAAAAATAAGTTTACGGTACATTTTCTGAAAATAAACTTCATTTGTTCACACTTGAACAGTTCTGTTTAAATATTAAACATATTTTTGCTTAAGTTTTCTCTATTTTTATGACACACATTTATTACACATCTGTTCTCTGTTTTTCATATCTATTATTTACAGACCCAAAACTATACCCGTACTTAATATAACACAGAGTAATATAAGACCGATTACATGGGCAGAAATACTAGAGAGAGGCAGAAAATGTCTTCATGAATATCCTTTCGATGGACAAGTTTGGTATCCGGATGGTGATATACGTAGCAGTAAATTTGTGCATAATCTCTTTGTCTTCTTCTTTCACATTATTCCTGCGTACTTGATCGATTTTCTGATGTTAATATTTCGACAAAAAAGATTGTAAGTTTTGCATTTTTTAATAGAAATTATATTTTCTTGTTTTAACATATCTCTTATAATATTTTTTTAGCTAATATTATTATGTCTATATAACAATATTATTATGTCTATATAACAATCTTCCCTTTTAACTATTATTTATATTTATATTTATTTTGTTTTTATTAAACAGTATGGTTAGAATTCAGAAACGAATCTCAGACGGACTTGAAGTATTACAATATTTCACCACGAGAGAATGGGTATTTTATAATGATAAACTAATTAAAATATATAACGATCTATCATCAGTAGACAAGGAGGTGTTTAGAACTGTAATTTACGATATCGATATAAACGAGTATCTTAAAAATATTATTCTTGGCGCGCGGCAATATTGTATGAAAGAGGATTTGTCTACTCTTCCGAAAGCCCGTCGGCACCAAAAAATGTAAGTATTTTCTATAAAAATTATATCACAATGTTTCTATGTATTATAATTGAAGAATAATGATTTCGTAATACTTATTCATTGTCAGTTTTTTTCCAAAGAAATTTTTTTTAAAGCAGCAGTTTCAATTTTTTGATAAACAGAGAGAGAGAAGGAGAATAAACATATAAAATGCAATGATTTATATATGTATGTTAACAAAAAATTTGTAGTATTCTCTTTTCTTTCCATTCTTGGAAAGTGACAATTGTCATTTCTAAGAGAAACTGAACACTTTCTATTACATAGAAAAATATTTATTCACATAACAGAAGAAACGACCGGGCTAGTAAGAGAAACTTGATGTTTGAACTTGTCACTTGTCGAATCAATACATTTTCTATTCTACGTTGATATGCACTTCTTTATTGCATTTTATATATTAATTATGTAATATATGTACAAAATATGTAATTATGAATTTGATCCTTTTGAGAAATAAAAAATATTTAAAATTTTTAATTTAATAAATAAATTTTTAATTTAAATTAATAAATTAAATTAAAAATTAGGACAAAAGATATAAATCAAATCAAACTAATTCATATTATATTATACCTACAGGTCAACTAATATTATATTATAAAATAAATATAATATATATTACGTTATAATTTAACTAAAATTGTTCTGTTAAATTAACATTGAAATCATTTTAATTAAAATTTTTAGATTAATTTTTCAATTTTTACCACCTTATTCTTCAAATTTGATTTTTAATGTCATAAAAATTTTATTTCATGATACACGTTTGTTTCAGAATGTACTTTGTCCACGTCACAACGGTGTATTTATTCTATTTTTGCATGTTATATTTTATTTATAACAACGTTGGGATAGTAAAGATATGCCTGGATTATGTCACCGACATTATAAAATCGGTACCGGTCATAGGCGGCTTACTGAGCAAAATGCATCTCTAAAGGCGTTTATATACTCTCTATGTTTATTAGATTACACTCACATGGAATGACACGAGCAGATGAGGAATCAGTAGTTCCTCTGACGATGATATATTGCGTGATATCTCAACTCACTTGTAATTTGAGATATAAATTATAAAAGGAAAAGGAATTTCATCGTAAACGTCAATGTATAAATGGAAATATTATTGATATCTATATGTAAATTTAATATATAGATATTAGATTCGCTGGTGTTTGTCAAAACCGACTACATTAGTTTTAAATTCTCAATCAAAACGTAGATTTTAGGAAATTTCAATAATAACATATACGAGATATACGTAATATAATAAATTTTCTATAATATATAGAGATGTGCAAATCAGTTCAAATTCAAATCGAATCGAATCTTATCATAATGGATTCGATTCGTTTTGTTTTCGAATTTAAGAGATTTTAAACTGAATAAGTTTGAAATTTCGAATCATCAGTGGTTCAATTTTGAATTTGGCTATTTTATTTGTTTTATTTTAAATCCGGAAAAATTGGATTTGTATTCGATTCGATCTCAGAAAATTTGATTTGCACACCTCTAATAACATACATATATATTTGATAAAAATGTATCATTACACTATCCGATACATGTACAAACATATTTAATAAAATAAAGATTTATGTGCATCCAGAAACGTATTGTTTTAAGAATAAAAAATTGATTAAGCTAATACTACTTATTATAATTTAACAAATTAAAACAGATCGAGTAAATTATACGCATTTATTACCATACATATCGATTATTTGAACTTATAAATAAAATATACACTTTTTTATAGATGTTCTATTCTACTTTTAACAAAAACTTTACTTCTAATTACATTTAGCGATTTAAAATCAATAAGTTTAGTTAAATTAATTACATTATTATATTTATTAATTCTACTATGAACGATCAGTAATAATTAGAAACATGGTTTTATTTATTCTATATGTATACCATGTATTTTCTGGTGTATATACATATGTAAGTTACATGTACATCTTGTAATACATATATTTTGTGTATACATATAATTTTTTTATTTTTAAATAATTTTAAATATATTATATACTACAAAAGACGATAAAAATAATTTTTATTACCACTGTAGACCGAGATAAATGTTACAACATAAGTTTTAACGTAAAATCATACAGGCTCCATTTTTCAAGAAAAATAGCAAAAATGTGGCTATATGTGTGTGTGTATATTATATGTGAATGTGTCGCGCCGTAAAATAACTTTTTTTTTGTATAGTTAATATTTTCAAAGAAATATATTTTTCTCTTCAATTTTAGAAACTTCAACAGATTTGATACTATTGAGCGTGTGAACTGCGCGACGATGATAAGGTAGATTCTCTCTCACTCACTCTATTGAAGCACAAGAATTTATCCAATTTCCCCGAGTATGATTTTCTGCGACACCTCCGACCTCAATCGATGCTTTTCTCAGGACACAAAAGAGTGTCCCTATAGCTTCGCTACTACACACACATAGAAAGTTGCTTTTATATGTATATTCGTATAGAAATTTACATATCACCCATACAATCACGGAACTGGAATAAGTGTGATATAATCTATAGCAGTGATAATTTTCACAGTTGAGATGATATTAATCTTAACCGCTCGGTTAATTTACTTTAACTTATTACGTACATAAATATAGTCTTTATGTATTTAATAAACTAAGGATGTTTTGATTATTATATGTATGTATACATCCAAAGCTTATAAAACTTTAATATACAAATAACTTGTAGTTATTATATATATATTTTAGAAAATGTAAAATCTGCTTAAATATATAGGAAACTTATGTGAAAAAAAGAATAAATACTCTGGAGTATACAGGTTATCATTTATTTAGCAGCTGTTGGTGGAAAAATTTTGCTGAAATCATATTTCGGAACACTTTTCAATAAAATTTTAAAATAATTTCAGTTTTATTTCAACAATTTTTCAGTATGTTAGGTAAAAAATTTACTTTCAGTGAAATTTCAGCAAATCTTTAGCAATTTTGCTAACATCTTTCGAAACATGGAATAATTTCATCGAAATTTTTTTTTCCGAAGTATATACCGTTTATTTTCACAGTAATAATTATATTTGCATGAATTTCTTTTTCGTAACTTTTATTATATTAATTATAGTGAATTAAAGATATAGATGTATAAAATTATTTGTCGAGAGAGAGAGAAAGAGAAAAATATGTTTAAAATAATTAATTTTATTATATTTTTATTAAAGAATATACGTTATTTAATTCGCTTTAACAAATTTAAAAAATATCATATATAATATAAATGTGTAATAAGTAAAAGTATGTGCCATTTTATAAAATTCAGTAATTTTGTTTTTTGATTTTACATGTTTATTTTTTTTATAGAGTCTAGTAAACCATGTGTTCGGTATATATAATTTTTATATAGAATACCCTTGACACGTCCAATGTGAATCTTAATTTTATTGATTTTTATTAAAGGTACAAAGAACTATTGATATGAATCATTAAATATAAATCTGTTTTCGGTTCTTTTTAGAGAGTTTTGTTTTTATTAAAGTAAAATTGTTTTTTATCTTATTTCTGCGTATTTCATTCTCTATATAAAACATTTCGCCTGCAACTAAGTTATGTAGGTACGTTACTTTTCTTTAGCATGTATAAATTTTTCTCTACCCATGTAACGTAATTATGCAACTAGGTTAAATGTACAAAGCTACTTACATTGATGATGACGTGATAATGAATGATCTCCATTGTCGTTAGCATACTTAAAGTAAAATTTATAGTCAATGATTAACAGAAATTTATGAACTAATATATTTCTGATAAATTTTATAAGGAAATTATTTAAAGTTATTCTAAGTGTTAAATGTTTAAGCTGTTTTTTAAAGTTATTATTCAAATTTATTATTATTAAAGTTACAGCGTATTAATCAAGTATTTCATATTTAATCTACATATTTGACGTGACTAATATACGAGAGAATTATGTTACGTCATCTACATTATTGGATATAAATTAATCTTGGCAAAAAGTAATCAAACCGCATTGTATAGAAACATAATCTAAGGATTTAAAGCTCAATTGCGGCGTAAGAAAGGAAGGATAATATGCAACAGTTGCTAGTTCCATCTAATATGAAGGGATGGCGCTGAGAAATCCCAGCCAACCTTCATTCCATTATTGATCCATCCCTCTACTTTTCTTTCGGAAAACAGCTCACTAGCCGACACGACGGTGTCGGTCGACATGCAACACGAGTCCTTTTCTTTTTTGTCTTCATTTTATTTCTTCGTGACTCTAGCAAAAAAATTTATTTAAAGTTTTGCATGCGCGACCGTGGTCATAAGTCATTAAAGAATTATTACCTACGCGAATTTTATTTTTCATTTGTTAAATTTTCTCACACAACTAAAGGAAATGTCACCAGTGAGGTTTTTCTCTCGTGATCTCGAGAAGGCGATGCCGACTAATAAATATTATCAGAAATGTCGACGTAACCATACACGTGCGAAGTTTCTTAAATAAGTTGTGAGAACGCGTTTACATACATGCGATAGATATAAACAGAAATTATAGGTGTTTGTCACAAATGTAACAGAATTATATCTCAAGAAGAGTTACTATCTTTTATAATTGAGTTGTCGTGCAAATATAGGTATTGTTTTAGAGATAACGTTTATTTAACATAAAAAAGTTCCAAGATCGAAACAGCAAGTTTCAGACTCTGAGAATTTTTAAGAACTTCAAAAGATTTCTATAAGATGTCTTTAAAAGACAATAACGTCTTTTTATTCTTTAAACAGTTATATTATTTGAAAAACGTTAAGAGGATTAAACATTATTAAATTAAGTTAAAATTTGGAGAAAACTGAAAATCTATCTAACGTGTTGAAAATTAATTATAAGATTATTAAAGATTAAATGTTTTTTATATTCTTATGAGAAGTTTTAAGCGTATGAAAATTTTAACATCTAAGAGTTCAGAAAATTAATGACTTGAAAGATTAAAAGTGTGAGAAAAACTGAAAACAATATGTGTTTTTGTGAATAGGTAAAGATGTAATTTATGATCGGAAAAATAAATGTAAAAAGTTATAGAAACAGAGACCGAATAAAAATGCTAATAGATCACTGTAATTACATCCAGCGACGACACACGTGTACGTCGCTGCATATGATTAAAAATTCTCATTTAATTTTTATTTGGAATTTGATTTGATTTTGAGAGAAATAGTTTCCAATGTGTTGAATAAATATAACATTTTGCAATTACGATGATTGCGAAATGCTATAAATTCATTGCAGATGGTAAAATTGCAAGACCATCACCAATTTTAATTTTAATAAATATCTGTTTTTTTAGATCTTTGTTTACCATTTGAATCAAGAGATTCAACAAAATGCACAAAAGTTGAAAAAACGTAAATATTAAGTCTCACATAAAATTAAAACCAAAAATTTATATTATTTAAATTTAAACTTCTGAGAGAAAATTTTCAAAGTAAATTGCCACGATACAATTTTGCTGGAAAAAGATGTAATGAATTTTTTAATGATGCAAATTTAACATAAATGGAATTTCGCGGAACAAAGACAGAAATAATTTCGTTAACTTTCTCTTGCCAATCTCTAATAAATTGTATTGTATACTAAAACTTTTTCAATATATTGCAACGATCTTTTAATAGTTATGCCACTGCAACCTACTTTCTTTGATACATAATATGTCAGTTTACATCTATTATTGGACATGTTTTAAAACCTTTTGGGATTCTTTAATGATAAATTTAATTATAGTAACCGAGTTGATCTTTCATATTTGTATATATTGTTTGTTGTATAATATATATATAAAAAATATATTTTTTATA